TACAGTGAAACGGTACCAATTGTAAATCCGACCAATGGTGAATGCATACCAGTGGTAAATCTTTGTCAGCATGAGCTGTGTATAGCCTTCACGATGCGTTTGGAGATCGTAAGGAAAAAGGCGAGACCAATCCAGAAGCGAAGAAAACACAAAAAGGGCCATAAAGGCCAGCTGCGACGTGGCTAGCGATAGCCACCTGGGTCAGGCACAAAGGTAATCTTCAATCCATGGGAGCCGTTGTTTTCTAAACTGCAGATTCATGATGATGTACCCTATCGACCAAACTAGGTCGTGTGCTCCGGTTTCAGCTACCAGCAACATGAGAGCTTCCATGCTGTTACCCTTGTTGTTCCAATGACGCGAAATGAGGTGAGTCTTACTGTCAAGGAGGGGGTGATTGCGAGGGAGACGATCAACCATGGCATCGTAGAACATTACAAACTGATCGTTCGGGGCGGGGAGATCATGTTTTTGGGTGGTTTGGCACTTGAAAAGAGCAGTGACCTGATAGTAGACTAGGTCAAAATACCAAGAGCCAGAGCTAGCTAACTTTTTGAGGACATCGTTTGTCCATGGGGCGTGTCCCGCAAAGACAGTCCACATATCTTCGTCCCTAAAGATAACATGGCAGAGATGCACTCCGGGCGGAGGAGCGACAATTGGCGTAGGAGCCTCCTCTGCTGGCGGCACTTCGGCCGTCGGCTGCCCGCTAGCGTCGGGCTGCGCGTCCATGGCTTGCGAAGTATCCATCGTCCGAGTGTTTCGCCAAAGTGAAAGCTTTAGGAAGATAACACCGAGAAAACGGGCACAAGAAGATGCACAAGCAAAACCTCCACCGAAGAGGGGGCTGCTACGCTTCACCTTGAGCCTAGTAGTGCTGCTAGTAGTGGTAATACTAGGGAAAGTGGCAATAGTAGTAGTGGTAGTAGTAGTAGTAGTAGTAGTAGTATTGCATTGCACACGTCTCACCGATCCGCTCCGATGATCGACGAAAGGCAGGCATAGCCCGGCAGCTCAGTGGCTGCATCCTGCATTTGAGGATCCTTGTGGACTGGAACTACGCTTCTCCACGAAGAACATCACATACAAGCGTACACCGCGTATTCGACCATCCGAACAAAACTGAAGTGCACCAAAGAGCCAGCCCGAAAGTGAACTTAATCCATTTCGAAAAGATCCAAGTCAGCTGCTGAGGTTGCTCCATCCTCCCCTGTAGCTGCTTCATGTGACTCAGCCGTGACCGGCCCTGCATGGTCACGAGCTGGCCACATCGGCTCATCATCCGAATCATGGATGAAAATCACGTGGCTGCCGTGCTTGCGAGGAGTAGGGATCTCCTGGGAGCCAGAGCTAATAGCAAGCCCCCCAGTCCTAGGTCCAGGTGCAGCAGGCATCGAGGAAGAGCAGCCATACGAGTCTCTTGCCGGGCCCTGCATGGCAAGAGACAGGCTGCCTTGCATTCCAGCATGGTCCACCGTTGCACTGTGAGCTGCGCCCGCCGGAGGCATAGCTGTAATCCATGCATGTGGCGAAACCGATGTGGTAGCTGTAGCTGCTGCTGCCTCGGCTGTGGCCATTGTCGCCGGCACAGCCTGCATAGAGGTAGCAATAACCATTTGACGACCCGCACACGTGCTCGAATGAGCACGGCCAAGGCTCTTCCGACACTGGGAGCAGCATGATGTGTGTCCCACCTGCACCCTTAGCAAGCATCCCGGGGTCCTGCACAAGCTGACAACTCCTCGCAATCTATGTCGATGTGACCTATCGCAATGCTTCGTATGGCTTCCATGCCGACAAGCTAAGCAGCAAAGCCCATGAGTTGGCTCCACTCCCAGCGGCAGCAACGGAAGCATTCTGTCACATCCTGCAGTCCGGCATGGATGCGCCGAAAGACCACCATGGTTCATGACCTGGCAGGTGGCATCAAGGAACATGGGCTGAAGCGAGATTGTGCAGTGCCAAGTCGGAGTGAAGCAGGCAGTGACAGGCGCTTGGAGCACAGATCAATTTTTATCGCGCGCGATTTCCATTCGCAGCTGATACATGGCACCTGGCAAATGTGGCAACCTTACAAATCCACACAAGAACCCAGCAACCCGACAACCCTCAACCAAGGGGAGGGATTAAGGTCAAGGAGTCGGGGAGAGACACCCAGCCTGCAAGCAAGGGGGCTCCGGTGGCAGGGGTGGCAGGACAAATCCCAAATCACGAAGTAGGGATCTCTGGTCAGGCTTCAGCTGATGCGTCTGCCCTGCACAGTACGCAGACAAAATGATGCGATTGGTGAATTTCCATTCACACGTTGCATGCACTAGCCTATGTGCAGGAAAGCTCAGGCTATGTAGCCCCAACTTGTAGACCTTTCCACACCTCGAGGCCCCAGTGTGACTCACGGGCTCCTGCCCACATCCATCCTCAATCCACAGCCCACCATCCGCATGGTGTGTGAGGCTGAAGATAAGGTTGCTCGTAGGAAAATTTCCATTGTCCCTGTGTGGTGGGAGGCGCAGATCCATGTTGACAGCAATGGTGCTCCAGTATTGAGGCCTGTCCAAGCTACCTCCAAGATGCTGAACCAGGCGATTGAGCAATCTGCAGACAGAAGCATGGCTTTTTGTCATTTTGCACAGACCAGCGAAGGGGCCACAGGAATACGCGCCGAGAAAAACACTGCCGCCCTGCTTGGGTGCCATGGAGTGCCTGTCCGTGCACCACTCCAGTTCAGCCACCACCTGTCTGGCAGCCGTCCAGAGAGGTGCCTGCCCATCCATAAGAAAGTACCTAGCCAGGGCTTCCGCTCGACTAAGGGCATCTGTCAACACAGGAGCAGGTTCCGGCATAAAAGTATCCAGGGCCCTGCGACGATGGAGGGCCAACTGCTCATAGTATGCCAGGAAAACCGTCCGTGCAGCTTCATCTAGCAGAGCACAGGCACACTGCACAATATCATTCACCGGAGCAAGGCCGATGGCCGGTGGTACGCGCTTTGATGCCTCTTCACCAAGCAGTCCTCTCAGCGCTTCAAGCAGCAGAAACTCCTCCAGCGCTGTGGCATACACATCGGGAGGAAAGGGAATCTCCCACACTTTAGGCTCCGCCATTGAGTGAGCATGCGGCTACGGGAAGACGAGGCCAGGAGAGTGCTCGGTGTGGCTGACACACGGAACGTTGAGTGTGCGCGTGACGCAACAGGGCCCAGCCTCTGCACC